CTTGTTTGAAGAAGTATATACAAGTGAGGTAATAATTGGTACAATTTATGAGGAGAGAATGGATTGAGTGTCAAAAGGGGCCAAATGTAAACTCCTACACGAATAAACTTTTTACCTGAATCATCATTAAATGTAAACTCCTACATAGACATTTTCTCTTTAAAAAATATGGTAATATTACTTAAATGCATGGTTTTGACGTTGAAAAGCTCAAAAAACTAAAAATTATCATAACTTGATAATAATAAATATATACATTTAACAAACAAGCATTTGAATAGAGCGTGTTTATACGCTGTATGATGATGATTCTCTAAGGTTAAGTTATATCCATATTATATACTATACTATACGTTCACATCAGCACTTACAGAACAAAATGCTTTCAATAGATCAGCGATGTATGGTATCGAATATTGTCGAATAACGATAAAACATGATAATCTCATCTGTATCGGGAATTTCGGAACAAATTGGCTTTATTACCGATATCGTAGTCCGCTCAGAACTGTGAACTGTGTATAGTTTGAGTTTAGTCTAGTAAATCTTTTACGTCTTTCACTGTTTTGTGCAGTAAAGTTAGTCACTCTTATAGTCATACATTATAACAAATTGCAATGGAATTAATGTACAGTCAGAATTGTAAAAAGTTATTAATAGGTAGTAAGGTAGTTGATAAATATACATTTTTTTTACACTATACTGCAAAAAATTGTCATTGTATTAAAAGTAATTGTCAAAGTAAAATGTATACAAATAAAACAGAAGATGAAATTATTGAAAAAACTATAGTTATAATTCACAATCATGACGAAGATACTATATTGAATCGCTAAGAAGTAAATAATTTACTGAAAAGAAAAGTAAATGAAGACAATATTGTAGAAAAACTTCCCAAGCTTATTTCAACTGAAATCAAAAATTTTAATATCGAAAATAATTTAAATACAACTGATCTTAAGGGGGCTGCAGCCGGATTTTTCCAAAGTCAAAAATAATGTAAATTTGACGAATCTAAACATTCATTTTGTTTGTTATAATGTTTTTCAACATATTTAAATTCTTTATCATAAAATAAACCCTAAGGGGGCTGGAGGGAGCTGTAGTCAATGAAAAAAATGACCTTAAGACCAATAAGCTAGACAAAACTGGATGAATTTGGTTTGACAAATTTTAATTATGAAAACGGATTATGATTGATCAACAAATTTACTAGGAAATGATCGAAACGATTTTGAATACTCCAATTATTGTTAGTGTCTTAATAAAAAATATAAAATGATGTATATTTTAGTATGATATAAAATATGCTGGCGTCGTATTTGCCTCCAACGTTTTGCTCACACGTGTTCGAGAGGAGAACGTTAACAAGAACCACSAAAATATCGTTTTTTGTTTAACATTTATAAAATACAATAAAAAGGCACAAATAGTCGTCGGATGACGAGTTTTCGACATAAAGGTCAAAAGGTAATTAACAATTGTGTGGTGATGTGTAGGTCGGTGGTCACGAGGTTCTTGGTTTTTGGTGTCACGGGGACCAAAAAGATGATCCGTAGAAAAATATTAATATATAGTTATTCCCATTGTTTCAATGGTGTATTTAGAGGTATCTAAAAGGCTCGACCCCCTCCCTTGGACTGTGTTGTCATCCAGGCAATGCTATATATTTATATAGTAGGTATTTAATCTAGTGCCTCCCATGGGATACTTTTGCTTATATAATTGTATAGTTTATGTCAAGTATAAAAAATATAATAAATTATTATCTATTTTTTATCTAGATAAAATTATATTTATCAATTATCTTTCTCTAGATAAATTCCTCTCAATAATCTATTATCTTTTTTTTTTATTGAAAGAAAAAGGAGGCTTCAACATCTGAGGTCATTAGCCTTGTGTAAATGTTACATTGTGTGTAAGTTACATCAATAATTAAATTTCAAAGGTTAAAATAGTCTTAAATTATAAATACATGTTTGATGTTAGTCAAAGATTGTTTACAATGTTAATTGGTGTAAGGAAATTTAAAATTTTTATGGTGTTGCCTTCATGGAGAACTTTTTCTAAGTTGTTGGGTATTGATGAGTTATTTCGGCTGTTTTGAATGTATGGGAAGTCTAGGATAATGTGTTAAATGTTCAGGTCTTCTTAGCATTTATTATATATGGATAGTGGATCTTTTCTGATTAAGAATGAATGGGTCAGAACAAAATGTCCAATTCTCACTCTGGATAGAGTGACTTCTTGTCGTCTATTTAAATTATGTAGATGTTGCCACTTTTGGGTGCATTTTTTGATTTTTTTTAATTTGTTGGAAGGTGGAACAGAATCCCAGTAACTTTGCAAATGTCATATTTATTTTGTTTTTAATGGATATATTTATGTCGTTAGCCGGTATGTCAGTGATTGTTGGATGCAAGATGGTTTTAATTGCTTTATTTGCCGACAATCTTTATCTAGATAATATTTTAGTAATCTATTCCCAACACTGTTCTTGGGTTCCCAAAATAGTACATTTTACAGGTAATGAATTCAACAGGTAACTTGTGTCCCGTTTTACTAGATAGACTTTGGTTTTGACAAATGCTATTTGAGTGCCAAGTTAAAGAGTCAATATAGGAGCGCAGTGGCGTCATTTGTGGGGGAGCCGGGTGGGCATTTGCCCCCCCCCCCTTACAATTAGCGAGCCGCTTTTAGTCCGGATATAGGCCGSCAGCGGCGCAAGCCCRCTAGAAATAAATTTTTCAAATAAATTTATTCTTTATATTATATTATGAATTATTATTCTATTTTCAATGAGTATTAATGTACGTCCTATTACTCTATTATACTCATT